TCTCTACATTTTCATACCAATAAACTAGTCTTAATACAAGGGATATAGCTATTCGGAAAGGTTTAGTTAATTTTAGGTTTACGTTACCATGACGACTCCTTGAGCCCATTGTGGTTCTGCCTCGCTTTAAACCCATTATCTCGTCTACTTAATGATCAAAAGACAGGTTATAAAACTGCCTAATACCGAGATTAAGATATCACATCTGATATACATGGATGATATAAAGCTTTACGCCAATTCATTTAAAGACATGAAAATCTTATTAGATAATACAAGTAAATTCAGTAACGACATAAATATGCAATTTGGATTTTAAAAAATGTTAAATTTTAAATATAAAGAAGGTAAAATTGAACCAGGACCCTACACTTTACCAGAAGGAGGCATTATTTCGTCCATAGAGTCAGTACTTAGGATATCAGCAATCCAAGCTATTAGACCACGATTAACAGAATACAAAAATGGAGTAAGCTGAATCTGTAAACCCAACTAACATCAAAAAGCCTCATTAAAGCTATTAATACTTACGCGATTTCGATATTAACATATTCATTTGGTATAATAAAATGGACAAAAACTGACATACAAGTTAGCCTTGAAATAAAAACGTACCATACTAACAAAATTTTATTATTTACATCCCAAGTCTGCAGTAGAAATCATATTTTTTATAGAAGAGGGGGCAAACGAGGATACGGTTCACCTGATGTTAAGTGACTACCTTATCTATAATAATAGACTATATATTACGCTCCAACCAACCAACCGCTGTTGCTGACCCGCTGGCCATGCTTGATAACTATGGCAAATATCCATCCTATGAGGCAATCTATGCAGGAGGCCTATGTTCAGCAGTGGACTTCAATAGACTGTAACGGTAACGATAATGCTCAATATCGGAGTATTTTATAGACAGTAACGGTACTTGCACGTTTAATATAGACATAGGGGGGAGGGGGATTGTCTGTGGCATTTTAGTGTAACTGTGGCCAAACTTGTTTTAATAATGTTGTACTTAAATTTGTTTTTCTTAACATCGTCTATCACCGGGTAGTGGAGCTTTCAGAATATCCACTACACACCCAAAGTCACTCCGTGGGTGTCAAGAGGAGACAGAGGGTAACAAACCAAGAGATGGTCCTCCCTCCTCCCCCCGCCAAGCACAACAACAACGCCAAATATCCCCCCCTTGTAAGCAATCTTTGGTAAAGGTCGTGGACTATGATAAGCTGCAACGGTGACTTCATTTCTCTCAACATAGATTTTCCCACTGAGGTGTCTGTAACATGTGACAAATGTTAATGAATGGGCGGAGAGTACATGTTGGCCGAATCTCAGCCAACGCAAGCGTATGATACAGTGCGAGTGATACAGTGTTGACCAAGTTTGAATGAGTGAACGTACTGACATGGTCGACTAACATGTGGCCACGAATTTTCAGTTGTCAGTTTTTCTGCACTAATCAAACAGGCGAGCTGTTTGATTAGTGCAGAAAAACTGACATTGCTCCGAGTTTGAGTCGTGGAAAACGATCCCGAGTGGTGGCAAGGCACGCCAAACAAACCGTATGCACGATGGCGCTCGCCTGCACTTACCCAGCTAGACAATCGACTACGAGCAAGGGTGAGGCTAGGCAAATGTTGTGTCCATATGTTGGTACTCGCCTTCGCTCGGTGAGCTATGGCCAACATGTATAGCCGGCATAAAAGACCGACTTCCGACGGCTCGAGACGTCGATGGATGACGGTGCAAAATCGCCGTCTACTTTTGCAACAAATCTCTCGCATTGTGGCGGTTGCATTGTACTTGTCTCTCAAAGGCTATTTATTGATAATCAAGTAACATTCGGTCACCATTGTAACCATTCAAAAGTGTGAACATCTGTGTCACATACTCGTATGTCTCACAAAGGTGTGAACCTTTAGTTAAAAAATCTGTCGCCATTTGACAATCATCGACTTCTAGGTGTTCAAACTGGTCCTTTAAAATAAAGCTTTTACAGTAGCAGTACTTGAGATGACAAACCGGTTACTGCTTAAGTCCAACGTGATACTGAATACAAGTTTAGACACTCGACTCTTCTTTTCTTTTGGCCTGGTTAAACCGGCTAATTTCTAATATGTATCGCAAACTTTTTTGCACTGCTAAGAACCGTGCAGTTCCGTTTGGGTTAATATGGGCTGGTAGGTACTATAATGATTTCTTAAATTTACGCGAACACTACACATTGAATAAAACTAAATTTACGGATTTTATCGCGTTTATTTCACTACTTTTACTTATTTTTAATTCCCGACGTTTCGGGTGCTTTACAGCAACAGTATGTTTTAATGGAAGCTCGCTTCAAGATGTAGCCAACCTTGTCTGTGATTCCTCTGACATATGGTAGTACAGCAGGTACACGTTCGACTGTGGCCGGCTTCACTCGGTCACTGTGACGTAGGCGCGGGACCCGAAGCTTGTTGTCTTGCAATACTTGCTTGACATGCTGAAGTTCGGCGGCCAGATGTTTTCTGTCACAGATCCCTCGTGCTCTCTTAAACAAAGATTTACCCACGGTAGCTAACTGTGAAGGATGATGGTGAGATTCACCATTTAAATATCGGTTGGTATGGGTCTTTTTCCTATACAGTGTGACCAATTGTGTTATTAGGATTTCGAATGACTAAAACATCTAAGAAAGCTAAAGAATTATTTGCCTCTAACTCCATTGTGAATTGTATTTTAGAGTTTATAGAGTTAAGGTGGTTTAAAAATGCAGTTACTTTGTCAGATGGTAAAATTGTGAAAGTGTCGTCTACGTACCGCTTGTAGAATCTTGGATTTACAGGAGCAGTAAGAAGGGCTTTCTCCTCGAAGTCCTCCATGAATATGTCGGCGACTATTGGAGATACAGGTGAGCCCATCGCCACACCATCTACTTGCTTGTAGAACTCTTCCTTCCACAATAGATGGCCAGATGGTAGGCAGTGTTTGAGTAATACTGCATATTCAGCAGGTATGTTATTATATTCTAGCTTCCTAGTTACAATTGATATGCAGTCTTCAATAGGTAGGCATGTGAATAGTGACTGAACATCAAAACTGACCATAGTTTCATTGTCAGCGAGATGTAGGTCTTTTATCTCACTAACAAAATGGTATGAATCCTTTGTGTGTGCTCTGGTATGTCCTCTCAGTGGTGACAGTACTTTTGCCAAGTGTTGTGCCACCTTATAAGTTGGTGAATCGATCTGGCTCACTATAGGACGTAGTGGAGCGTTTGGTTTGTGTATCTTCGGTAACCCATACAACCTCGGTGGTTTGGTGGTTGGAGGTTGTCTGAATCTTTGTTTCAGAGAGCACGAGGGATCTTTAACAGAAAACATCTGGCCGCCGAACTTCAGCATGTCAAGCAAGTATTGCAAGACAACAAGCTTCGGGTCCCGCGCCTACGTCACAGTGATCGAGTGAAGCCGGCCACAGTCGAGCGTGTACCTGCTGTACTACCATATGTCAGAGGAATCACAGACAAGGTTGGCTACATCTTGAAGCGAGCTTCCATTAAAACATACTACAAGCCGCCGAAGAAGATTAGTCAATTTTTACCATCCGTCAAGTGTAATATCCCTCTACAAGATGCAGGAGTTTACAAGTTAGATTGTGAATGTGGTCTCTCTTACATAGGTCAAACAAAAAGATCCATAAAAACCCGCGTGAAAGAACATATAGCTGACGTGAAGCACCGACGCTCCGGGAAGTCTGCAGTCTGTGAACATGTTCAAGATCGTCCCCACAATTACATCAGATTTGATAAACCACAAGTCCTCGCAAAAGAACACCGATTCCTACCAAGGATGATACGCGAGGCTATTGAAATTAAAAAACATCCGAATTTCAATAGAGAAGATGGTTGGGTGCTGCCATCTGCTTGGGATCCTATAATTAACAAAATTAAACCCAAACCCAAGCATACCACTGCAAGACTTCAAGATACTGTAAGTTCGTTTTGCGTAAATCGGACCAAAAATTAATATTCAAAAACTGAAGGTAGCCGGGCTAACAATGACATTGGGACGTCAAACATCTCAGTCCCCCCCCCGTGACCATGGGTGCTGTAAAGCACCCGAAACGTCGGGAATTAAAAATAAGTAAAAATAAGTAAAAGTAGTGAAATAAACGCGATAAAATCCGTAAATTTAGTTTTATTCAATAGTAGGTACTATTATTTTTTTTCTTTGACGTCGAGCACTCTTGCCTCCGTTTGAACTATCACAAACTTTGAAACGAACGAACTTGGTTTTATAGTTCTATACATTCATAAAATTAAAAAATTTAAATCTACATTTGTTTATTGTGTACCCACCTACGAAGGGGAACTATTATGTAATTAAATAAAAATATATATTTAAATGTTTCCATTTAGATTTTTGACTAACCACATAGTTAAAGCTTTGCGTTGCCAAATTTACACACTTATAGGTGCCCTGTAACTATATTTTGATCTCTCTTTGTTATCTCTGATATTTAAATGTAAAACTATTTCGTATTCCTATTCCTAATCGTATCGCATTGCAAAATTTTGTGTAAGTCATGGTTGTAGGCACAAGGCCAAGGCGGCAATCTCTAGTACGCATCGCACGTCGCCTACAGCTGCCTCGCTATTTTTATATCACGTTAACAGACTCGATTAAATAAGGTCAGAGTATTCATTTAGCATTTGAATTGGAGATAACTTGACTGACTAGTATCTTTTACTTATGATAACTTAGAATATTATAATTCTGCTATCAAACACAATTTTTACATAATTTTTACAGTTTGGAGAGACATTTACACACTCTTCGCATTTCATTTTATTATGTCAGATTAGATTAACAGTATGACATCATACAGATACTATTATTTCTTATTATTAGGTATGTGAAAAAATATTTTTCATATAATAATGACTCAAATAATAAAGAACTGAATTATTGTAATAAACAAACAATAAATATTGTTTCTTTACGTTTCAGCGGTGATCACACGGAGGTGATAGAATTGGATTACGACCCAAAAACAATCTCCTACGAAGAGCTGCTCGACATGTTCTGGGCGAACCACGAGTATGGGCTCACTACTAAGCTCAAGAGACAGGTTAGCTTTATAAATAAAGATCTTATAAAATAAGTCATTATAAATAAAGCTTTATAAATAATCATTGCTAAGAGTTACAACAATAACAGAACAACTTTTTAACATATTAAGTGTATTTTGAGATAGGTATCATGTTAGCCCAAAATTTAGTTACTCAATATTATCATGTCTTTCAGGCGTTTTTATGCGACCTGAAAAGCTTAACGACAAGAGTGATTTCAAGGTGATCTGATTAATCCCAATAACGAATAAAGTTAGAATAAACAGGGTTCCATTTTAACAAAGACTTGATTTGTTCTTTATTTGGACCATTCAACCCAATTATCTAAGGTTCTTTACCACTTCAGTTCTTGAATTGAGCGTTAAGCCCAATGACCTTGAGGATTTGTGGATTTGACTTAGAGTCGTCGAGACACTGATGTATTGCGTCTGGAGTATCCGTCACAGGTCTTTATAGCTGAAAAATTAATAGAATGCTCGACTTAACTATAGCTAAGTACGGCTTCATACAGCTCCTTGATTACCATTACATTATGAAACTATCGTCAACATCTAAACAGTTATGGGTCTTTAGTTTTGTAAAATACTTTCAAACGTGTTGATATAACGGATTTCAAGTTTGATCGTAATATCTATCTAATATATTATGTAATTGTGTTAGTTGTATTACGTAGTACTATTATTTATTCTGTGGTTGTATTCTAAAATTTTAGAAATGGGTAACATAAACTCCATCCTATAGAACACACAGTCACATAGAATACATTACAAACATTTTTACGTGGTAGAGTCATGCTGCAGAATATTATGGTTGTAGCATGAATGGGTCGGCTCGACCAGGGAAGGACCACGCTCTCACAGAATACCAGCGTAAAACAGCAGTGAATTGTTGCTATGTTTCGTATGGTGCGTGTAGAAACCCAGAGACCTTTTTTTACTGGAAACGAAGCATTCCATCTCATTCCTCAGGGGTGACAACGCATCTGCGTTTTGGTTTTTAATCGAGGATAAATGTAGATGTATATGGGCCACAGCATCCACTTACCATCAGGTAGACTGTGCGCTCGTTTGTCACCCTTATTCTATAAAAAATAACACACTTGAAGATTCTGCTTAATTATACTCAGAACTCAGAAGGCATAATTACAGACAGACTCAGTCTCACAATCACTCTTTTTAAGGCTACGAAATTTTCCCAGAGTTTACCAAAACCTGTCCTCCGCGGATCACACAAGGCAAAGTTTTTTTTATTCTACGCCAAATTCTTTTATTTATTTATAGATAAAAATCGCCAGAATACTTTATATTGTATAACTAAACATTAAGTAAGTATTTATTTATGCGTCAATGCGTACCTATTCTGGTAAATTATAAGCAATATTCATAAATAGAAGTGACTTTGATATCGTCATACAAATCATTAGTATTTACCTTGAATGATTTACCTGGATGAAAATTATGATCAGTGTCAAGTGTTGTTGTTTTGTTGTTATGTATTGCGGCGTGTTATTGTATTTGTTGAATTCGCAAGGTCGGTAATAATAAAGTATGAAAATGATTAACACAATTGTTGTTTGGGCAGAAATTTAGGATGTATTTTACGACGATATTCACAAAATTCAATATATATATATATATATATATATATATATATATATATATATATATATATATATATTAGTACTTGAGACATAACATTAGTTCGCTGTCTTACGTATTTCTGCTACTAGCTGCTATGGCTGCACTGCTTGTTCCGGTGTGAGGGGTTTAGAGAGTCACTATATCAATTGCAGGCATACCTATGTTATTTTAAAGCATCTTAGTGCTCAGAGGTGACAATGCGTCTGTGACCTTCTTTAGTTGCAGATGTTTCCAGGTGCCAATATGCTGCAGTAGCCACTTACCAGATGTGGACCGTTAGTTCATTTCAATTTTATAAAAAAGTTTTCAAATATTTGATGATAATATATTATTTTAAAAATCCAGTCAACTCTGGCGTTAGTCAGACTGGGGGGGAATGTTTTCACTCACTTAGAACGCTCCACACGCCTGCCACATGGACAATCTAGGGTGCATTGCGTGTCCCATTCGCAAGATATATATATATATATATATTTTATATATATATATATATATATATATATATACAACATGTAACATAATTAACGCACTTTGAGAAAGTAGTTTGTTCAGAATCGTTTACTGAATCGATTCCAATCATTTTTAATATAGGTAATTTTTTATCCCAAAAATAATTAAAACTACGTAAATTACAGTCACACTAAATCTGTACAGTCAAAATAAACTGAAATGGACCTTAACTTAAGGCAATAAGACTTTTAAGACTGCAGTTTTATTTGTATTATTACTAATTCTGTCATTGAATAAAAATAAAGAAAAATTACTTTAATTCAAGCAAGTTAGTCTTTGCTTTGGTGGATTTGTACTGTGACCACAACATTCTTCCGGAATTAGTATAACTAATTTGATAAATAATCAGTGGATAAAAATGTTTAACTAAAAATTCAGTGTATGTATTATGATTATAACATAATATACTAATTGGGGTGTCTGAGGGTGTGCGTTAATTACGTTACATATTGTATATAAGAGGTTTCTGTATATATTACTCTACTCTATGATAGGAAGCTTCTCTACTCTACCCACGTGCTTGTTGTCCTGTGTGAGACAGAGCATGACGCAGAACACACATGCCGTCTGAACCGGTAAAGATGGCGCCAACGCTATAAAAATTTAAAAAATTGGCATAGCTTTGACAGTTTTCTTGGTACTACCGCAAAAAAGAAAGTACTGGGGGAAGAAATGATTCATCATTATAACGACCTAGCAACGTCCGCTGATAAATATAGGCCGCCTAGCTGCATGTGGGGGGGGGGGATTTTTTTTACCATAGTTGTCACGATTTTCGGGTGAATTGTCAACCGCAATTTTCATTATTTAAGATTTTACTGCCCATCTCCTGTTTCAGTCCCTCTATCGCCTCTTAAAACACCCACGGGAAGAACTGGTTACAAAGGTATAAAGAGTTGTTTCAAATGAACGTAATGCAAAAATTACAAGTTGATCAGACCATGTGTGAGCCCGGTTTTCATGATGTTTTCTATCACCCCCGTTCATACATCATTCTCATCATTTTTCATTTCTCTATTCACCGCAAAGGGTAACGAGCTACATAAAACAAATATACAGCCCACTCTGCACGGCAGTCGATGACGAAATTGCTCCTATCACGACACCCACGCAAATTGTGGATGGGCGACAGGGACTGAACTATGAAATTAGGAAGGTCTGGAGCCCCTGACGCTCTGCTTTTTGAACGAAAATGGAAAAAGAAATTGCCGTTGCTTGTCTACATATCCCACTTCTACACTCTAAATTGCCTCCGCGTATGAGTAGCCAGCTTCAGCTAGAAGTTTAGGCCTAGCAGTAAAAAACATTGTTAATTGTTAGCTTCTAGTTTATAACGATAATGTATTGGATTAAAGTGACACTATCTGCATTTAATTTCTAGTATCAATCAATGATCCTGTACCACAACGAAGAACAACGAGCGGCGGCCGAGGCATCGCACAAACAAATGCAAGTGAGCTGCAACGGCCAACTTCGCACGGAAATTGCTCCCGCTGGTCAATTCTATCCCGCCGAAGAGTACGTATTATTTACCTCAATTCTCACCCTTCACAAGTCCACTGCTGAACACAGGCCTCCCTCAAGAAATGCCACAGAGCACGATCCTGAGTCACCTGTATTCATCGACCTAGTGCATATCTTACCAGGTCGTCACTCTATCTAGTGGGGAGGCGCCCTACACTTTGTCTACCGGTACGAGGTTGCCACTCTAGAACATTTCTTTTCCATCGGTTGTCGGTTCTTTAAGTTTCATGGCCGGCCCATTGCCAGTGTAACTTAATTACCACGAAAAGCACGAACGGCTCAGCCCGTCCGGTGTAGGACCACGCTCTCTCAGAATACCAGCGTAAAATAACAGCTTAATGCTGCCGTGTTTCGTATGGTGTATATAAGAGGAGACCCTTTTTATTGGAAACGGGGCATTCCATCTTAGTCCTCAGTGGTGTCAACGCATCTGCATTTTGATTCTTGATCGAGAATAAATGTAGATGTCTATGGGCCACGACATTCACTTACCATCAGGTGGACTGAGTGCTCGTTTGCCACCCTTATTTTATAAAAAAAAAATCCTCATTTCTAAGTTTGTCACACAGAGAAACTCTTTCTATAGCTCGCTGAGCGACCTTGAGCTTTCGAATACGGCAGTATGAGGAATCTCATAAAGTTTGCAGTGATATAAATCTTAAATATAAGACAAATTATTTAAAAGGATCCATACATAATTTGTTATTATAGAAAATCTAAAACTATTTATAGCATTTCGATGCGGAACGCTTTGTTAAATAACGAATGCGGCTCTAGTGAACGTAAATATCTTAAATTCTTAATCCACATCTCAAATTCCGGTAATTAAAAGTAGCATCACTAACTTAGAGCCAGCCTTACTAATCCGGGGGCAGGGAAACTTTTGCACACACTCACTTTTTATTTAGCTAATCAGTGATTTATTCCTAAATTATAACCCGGGTTGACTACATCAGATTCACTCCTGGGTCCAAGGCGCTGCCGACATCTCGGTCGACCGCTGGGATCGCCCAGTCCCAAAGCCGATATTGATCACCATTGTGATGACTCCGTCCTCAATAATCAACCTGCCCAGCTTAATGATAAACAGGGCTATAATCTTAGAATAATGAAATATTCGCCGCGCTGCCTCAATGCGTGTTGGAAGACCACGTCTGCGAAACAAGTTTTTTTTTTAATTTCTCAGACATGCAAGATTCAAGCACGGGATAAATCAGCACTTAAAATGCAATTAAGGTATTCTTTGGTTTCGTTTTTTTTTTGGGATCCAAAATGGGTTTCTCGCGTTCTGTGAAATTTACAGCGAATGCTTAAGTGCACGAGTATTATTACATATAGCTCTACGGTTTCTTTACATATTTGGTACCATCACTGAAGGTTAATGTATCTATATAAATTATCTATATATATTAAGTAACGTACCCACGCTGCGTGCATAGCCTTCAGTCTCATTGGGGCTATCAAGCCTTAGCGACAACCTCGTTTGAATATTAAAAATGTTTTACTGTTCGCAGACAAATGCTGAATGCATAAATTATATTATATGTAGCAATAAACGCAAAAATTATGTCAAGGTTCACTACTTTTAGCCGGCATACGCCTATTAATTGTATTCATTAACCTCCAGTTTAAATGACACCCGCCTTTTCCCTATAATATTATTGATAAGTACCCCTCTTTAGTTATCGTTATGGACTATTTATTGTCAATACTGTGATGCTGACCATGAATTAGTTTCCAGCTAATTCTAGGCATCGTAAGCCTAATAATTATTTATGCCCTTGTCTAATAAAGTCAGAAAAAAAACGGCGAGTTATTCTTTGATCATAGGAACCTTATATATGAGGTTAAACATTATATTGACAAAAGAAACTTTTACTTATTACGTTGAAGGAAGAAGGATATATAAGATCATTTCATTTCATTGATTTTTTACATGGTGGCTTAGGGGCACACGATTTAATGTTCATAGTACACGAGCAACTCGGTTTGAGCCCCGTCAGCAATATTAAAATGGTTAATTGCATTTTTAAGCGCTGATTTACCTCGTGATAGGTGGTGAAGGCAACAGTGAGGTAATCTGCATGTCTAAGAAATAAAAGTAATTTGAAAGAAATGTGAAGTCAACCAACACGCATTAGAATGAAGAGGCCTGTACCCAGAAGTAGGATGTATTTAGGGTTTAACCCATCTTAAACGCATTGTTCGCAAGCAACCCAAGTTGGTTTTAGAAACGGTTAGACTTGAGACGTCTTATTAACTATAAATTATAATATATATATATATATATATATATATATAAAATTCGAGCAAAATACAAAAAGAGAATATGTATTTTAAGTCCAACAGTAAAAAATAAACAGACTGATGTTAAGATGTCAAATAGTACCTTATATTTGTAATTACTAACTGCATATATACAAAATATTACTTACTACATTATTCTTACCCTCTCAAAAAATTATGAACGCTTTTTTATTTGGTACTAGGTGGCCCGGCAGACGTTCTGCCTTTCTGATACGAGGTGATTAGTTTCACTCCAAATTCGCTCCGGACTTTTTACCGTGTAAATAAAAAAATAATTAATTACTCGACTACAGTGCATCGTAACCAGATTCACCAGAACTAGGGTCCAGATTTTGTGATTTTCTCTTTGGCACTAAGTACTCATATACACTCATGAGTCGTGCCGGACTTTATATGCAACTGTATATTATTTATTGATGAGACCCAACAAAGAAAATTACGGTTTTAAATTGGCATCGGGCCGGTTTCGTTGTTGATTGATTGCGAGTTGTAAAAAGTCGAAAGAGATTGATTGATTGACCCAAGTTAAACTCATTCGTAAAACAATGTGCAATGCAACAGAATTGCGAATAGAATACTATGCATTTGAACTCAGGATCGTTTCAATCAGACGCAATGGAAGACTGACAAGTGCGTTTAGAAGCGATCGCCTTCATTTGTATATCTTAAAATATAAAAATTACGTGTCACATTGTTTGTCGCGATGTACTCCGAAACTACTCAACCGATTTTAATTAAATTTTGTAAATGTGTATTGCTTGCTCCAACTTGAGAGATATGATAGTTTTTATTCCAATAAGTGACCCTTAATATTTTTATTGGTAATTTAAAGATTATTAAAGGACAAAAGGTCGTCGCAAAGGGCAGAACAATGTCTGCCTGGCCAGCTTGAAAAATATATGTATGTTATGTGTTTTTTTATAGGATAAGGTGACAAATGAGCACACAGTCCACCTGATGGTAAGTGGTTGCTGTGACCCATAGACATCTACCATATACATACATATATACCCATAGATATCTATCCTCGATTACCTACGAATCAAAATGCAGATACGTTGTCACCCGTGAGGACTAAGATGGAATGCCTCGTTTCCAGTAAAAAGGGTCTCCGGTTGTCTACACTCACCATACAAAACACAGTAGCAAATGTTTATGTGTGCTAATAATTCCTTTTTAACTGATTTCGAAAAGGAGGTATTCAATTCGACTGTATATTTTTTTTGTGTGTTACTTCAGAACTTGTCTCTGATTTTAAGATTCTTGTTTTATTTGAAAACTAGTCTTTCTCGTGAGGTCCCATATAAATTTGACCAAGATCTGACCTGTGGTTTTTTAGTTATCCTTAATAATACAATTTAATTGACTTCGAATGCATTGATGATGTTCTCATTATATTTATATTGAAGTCGGTTATACAACATTTTTAACTTTACCACTTCTTAAGTTCAAAGGTTTCTTTTAGTTTAGTTGACAAAGGTGCACCTACGCTAGAAATAAAACTAGAATTGCAAAGGATAAGGTAAGTTCCTAAATAAAAATACTGATGGTGGTGTGATTTCATTTTTTCCCTCCAATTAAATTTAATGTATGTAGAAGCGACAATAGCCTAATGGTAGGGTTCGGACTGCAAACTTAGAATGTCGTGGGTTCGGATTCACCATCCACCTACTATGGCGGACCAATCCTAACAAAAGCATTTTAAGATTATATGGTCAAGGGATATATATACGTAATGTTAATAGCGTTAACATTATTTTTTTTAATGTTCACAGCTCAATGTAGTGTTGCTATAATTTGCGATAATTTGCATTAATTTTCTAAAAAATCGTAATCACCAAATGATCTATAAATGAATATGACGTACTAAATGTAATGACAATAAAAACGTGTGACCGTTCGTGTAAAATAGTTGAGTCGGAAACGTAACCGGTTACCTCTCTTATGATCGGAAAATTACGATACGATCCACTATTACCGACAGAATCTTTTCATATTTGTCATATTTACATAAGAGAGAATTTACAAATATTAAGGTGCTAATAAAGCGTGGCTAGGAATTTAAATATTTATACCTATAAATTGTAAGCGGTTTCTTTTTTAAATTAAATTCTATAGCCTTTTATACATAGTAGAGCCACAGTACGGCTATATTAGGGTTGTAGCTAGAATGGGTCAGCTCGACTGGGGAAGGATTACTGTCTCACAGAATACCAAGGTAAAATTGCAGCTTAATTCTACTGCGTTTCGTATGGGCAGTGAAGAGAAACGGAGCTGGAAACGAGGCATTCGATCTTAGTCGTCAGAGGTGACAACGCATCCATATTTTGATTCTTAATTGAAAACAGATGTAGATGTCTGGACCACAACATCTACTTACCTTGTTTGTCATCCATTTTCTATAAAAAAAGTGAAAAACGAATTTCTTTTGTTATGAAGCTGCAGTCCATGGCCACCTGGAGTCATCTTCAAACAAACAAGGCTACAGATGCGTTGTCACCTCATGAGGACTAGCATCGAATGCCTTACAACCTGTAGTTAATTAAACTGACTCTCATTACCCTTCAAACTGGTACACATTATAATAATGCCCCGCAGACCGAATTTCGGCCACTGCGGCCTGCCTCAGCGGAGGCTAGCCATCGGCGCAGGACAGGATTATAGTGCCCAAGTGTATGCGCAAGCAC